TCAACTATACAAGCCAAACATAGTTCATACTAAATAGCAAAAGGCTGATTGTTTTTTTGTTGTTGCAGTTAGTCTAAGTTTTTTGTCATAGTTAACATGGTGATTTCTCACTTTGCATCTACTGAAGTGACAAGTGGATTATCTGATTCTGTTGGATATAGTGATGCACTTGATTGAGCTGGAAATAGTTCTTTACGTGCTTTCTTTGAAGGTGGTGAAGAGATTGTTTTTGAACCTGAGTTTGGTGAATCTATAACGCATTCTTTATGCAGTGCATTGATGTTAAATTTGCACTGTGCTAAGCCACCAAAATCATATTGATATGCAGACAACTCTAAAATGTGATTTTCTGTTGTAGAGAGCCCTTTCAGAATTTCCAGAGAAGTTTGTCCATCCTATTGAATTAAGAAAAATGTTGTTGTAATGATTAGTAAATATTATGAAGTTGTAGAAAATGAAGAGTGTTGTAGAACTTACATTTGATGTGTTCTTCATCAATTCCTCAGCAGTGATTAAAAAAGTTTTTCAGCATGAGAACCAAAAATGATTGTTGTGATTTTGCCACTTTCATCAGTTAAATCTACTTCAAATCTGCATATGTTGTTATTGTGGAAGAAAAATTATAACACGAATAACAAAGAAACATCCAAAGTTATCACTAAGCAAAGGAACAAAGTGTGCTTTCTCAAAGAAAGTGAACAAACTAATTGTCTCGAACTAAGTGGGTTGCTATGCATAGAGTCCTTTTTGTTAATTAAGTTTTCAATAAGTGTGTGATTCTACATTGATGTATGATTTGGGATGTAAATTCCTTAGGCATGACAGGGTGCCAAGGGAAATGGTCATCTTCATGGTATTTTGCTAAACTACATTCTTTTTCTTTTCAAATAGAAAGTATTGCAAATGTGCTTCATAAATCCATTGACTTAACCTGATGGACTCATCCCCAGAATTTCCTTCCAGCTTTGTTTAATCTGTTTAGGATCTGGTACCGTTTGATCTAGATCGGTGACATAAATTTTGTTTGGTTTTTGTAGGTAATTTATCTGCTTTTAGAAAACAGTAATGCAGTTTAGCGTTGAGTATTTTGACTTTCTACGAAGAAATTCTAGGTTAGTTATAGACTATAGGAGTTTGAATTGAACTAAAAGAGCAAGAAACCAAGCCTGAGGCTGAAATTGTACTTGCACGTTCTGGTCAAATTCCTATGGTCTATATACCCTTCTTTTCCTTAGCTTTAATAATATAATAATAAACTTCTGACGAATGGGGAGATAGATTCATAAGTATCTCTGTTGCTTGTGGTTAGTTAGATTTCACTTCAAGTTACTATGTTATATCTCTAGTCATATTGAAAGGTTCTCCATTGCTGAGATTTTGTTTATTGTGCTTTGCCAGCTGTGTTTTTTGCGTGCAATATTTTGCCAGGAGTATCAATTTAAAATTATTTCTCAATTGTTCTTTTAAGATTGTTTGTATTTAGGATTTAGGTAAGGATATGAGGAGGAAAAGGGAAAAAGTGAATGAATATAAGCTAATTTTTTTCTCTATTTTCCTTGCATTTTTTTTCCCCTTTCCAAATCCATTATCCAAATACAGTCTAAATTTCTTTTAGTTGTTTGTCATGACACAATATTTGCACAAATTACTCTAAGTTGTTTGTCAACAGTTTTTTTGTTTTCTGTTTTTCTGGTGTTAGCTAATTACTCTATTGTCACCCTTTTTATATGCTCATGATTTGTTTTGTTTTCTTTAGTAATCATTATTAGGTCATCGTCTACCCTTTAAACTTCAACATAATGTAGTGTATATGAAATTAGAGAAAATTATGAGTATGGATTGAATAATATGAAATTGAATAGATTTTATCGTGGAGATAATTGTTAATTATTACATTGGTTGCGATTGCACTCGTTGTTTGCAAAAGTTGTAAAAAAAGAAGTCCTTTGGTTCTGCAGCGGTGCTTTTGTTGCAGTTTGGGAAGCATAGATAGCAGAATTTCTGGTTTACATTAGTGATAGTGGCACAAGCATTGACCCAATATCTTGTAGTCTAGGAAGTTAAATTGAAAATTATAATTAGTATGAATCTTAAATTAGGAATTATCATCGTAAGGTAAAAAATAAACTCTTAAATTGTATTTAAATTAGGAATTTCTATTAGAGTATTGTTATTTTTTCTCATGAATTTTAATTTCTAACTTGAATACAATCAGGGTTATTGTAAGGTAAAAAATGAATTCAATTTGATTGGTTACTAATTGTTACTATTGTTATGAGTTTGTATTAAATTATATTCAAAACTTTTGGGTTTGTTTCTTTAGATTAAAAAAAAAAATTGTATAGTTTAATTGTTTCTTAATTGTTAGTATTGTTATGAGTTTATTGGTTATCAATTTTAAATTGACTAAAAAATTAAGATTGATGAAATTACTATAATATGAAATATACTCGTCTAACAAATGTTGGAAGATTTTTGAGTTGAATCAACTTGTCTGGAGTTGGTGGTGGAGACTGTGTTGTTGCAATTCGTTGGACTCTCTGAAGAAGAATTTTTTTGATGGTATTGTTATGCCTAATGTACCTGAATATCATAATTGTAAATTGGTATAAGTAAACCTGAATATTGTATTTAACCAAAAAACAAAGAGTTCAATATTGTAAAATATTATATTATAGTAGTAATTACCAAGCTTTCAGTGAATTTTCTTCAGGAATTGGAGGGTCCAATATGAAAGTTGTGGATGATTTTGTTGATAATGTGACACCTACAAAATTGATTGTTAGGAGTTTGGTAGTAGTATAATAATTATAAAAGTAAGAAATGTTCAAGAATATAGAAATTACCATTGTATGAGGACACCTTTAATCGCATAGCAATTATGATTGGGAAAGGAGTTGGGAGTTTGGAAAAAGCTACACATTCACCCTAAAGCGTTAGAGTTGTTGGCTTCAATCTGGGAAAAGGGAATTGTTAGATACAACAAGTTATTTGGTGAATACATAAGCATTTAGTAATTGTCTACATAAGTATGGATTTCAAATAGGGACATTTGAAGTTAAAATGATCGGAAAAAAAATTTGGAAGAAGATACAACTTACTGATCATCAATAACAATGATTTCTTACAATGGAGTCTCCTCATCTTTGTAGTCTTTGAAATTTTTCTTCATCTGTATTGGTCCAACCTCTAGTATTGCTAGCAACACATCTAAATTAATATATATATATATATATATATAATTTAATTGTAAATAAAATTGTATTGTAATGTATTCAATTATTGAAGAAAACGAATATGAATAAATTTTACTTATATCTTTTGGTCGTGTTGATGATTGCGTATTTGCTGCTATTTCCGAGTGGACATTCGCTGATGTTGTTGTATCGATATTGTCCTCAAGTGCAATTAGAGTAGTAAAGTTAAAGTTCAAACTTCGTATTGTTAATTGATCATCTTTGATTTTTTCTATGGGAGTTCGTCCATGAATTGTCCATTGGTATTCATTTTCAACAATTTGATGTTGTTCTGGAATAGATCTGACTTGTGCATTTGATATTGCATAAGACGAAAAGATTTCAAGTGTTGTTAGAAGAACCTCTATGTCTGCACCAAAGATTGTGGTTTGCACTTTTGATCCCTACAATGTCTGAATTTAATAATTAATATATAATTCTAGAATTAGTAAGAAACAATTAATATGTAGTTATTAAAGATTCTAAATCATATTTAAATTGGAAAAGTTAAATAAAATATAGACCGTTTATTAAGTTTAAAAAAAGGGGAAAAAAAAGAAGTAGACGTGCAAGAAATAGAAGTGATATGATGGTAAAAAAAAATACAAAAGAAGAAAAGAAAAATGCAAAGGGAAAGTAAGTATTTGATATTTTTATATTTGCAATAGAGATTTTTTGCAAACATACCTCTGCATCAATTGACATGAGCTTTTGAAATAGTATTCCACTTGATCCAGTTCTTGGAAATGATTTTTCAATAACCATGACATTTGATGTCCATCGTTTTGTAGATGGATTAATATCTTTGATAGCTAACAATTGATTGCGCATGATTTCCTGCATGCATAAAACATATATAGTTGGACTAATAAATAAGAAGAAAAATAATGTCAAATGAGTAACATAAATATAATATAAATATTACAAATATATGAATTGCACATACCAAAAAACACGAAAAACAAAAAAAAAAAAACAATTGCATTGAGCTAAGGATAGAATCTCATGGTAGACAATGTTTTTTGTGGCATCGGGAAATTCATTGTTTGAATCTGATACATCTGTTGAAACTTTGACTTTGGTGGAAGTTGTAACTCGAGATAATGCCACATACAATTAGCTATGTGAGAAAACTGGTTGTGGTAAATAGATGCCAACAGTATCTAAACTTTGACCTTGAGCTTTGTTAATTGTCATTGCAAAACATAGGCCGATTGGGAATTGACATCTAGTAAAATCAATTGAACACAATTTTTTATCTGATGGCTACGAAGGTAATCGAGGTAAAAATACCATATCTTCTTTTCGATCACCAACAGCAATTTGAGTGAGAATAACATGTTTTTCAAATTTGCGACAAATGAGTCTTGTTCCATTACATAATCCCTTGGAAGGATTTTTGTTGTGAAGCATAAGAATGGAGCAGTTTTCTTTAAGCAACAATTTGTGCGGTGGTAGTCCTAGAGCAGATAAAGAGTTAAGAAAATCTTCATATTGGCCCAACTGACTTTTATCAACAGTCTCATCAATGCTGTTATATATGTGTTCATCTCCAGGGAATTCTTCTATCAATATTTCATTGATGTGATCTACATTGTCATTTTTCAGAGTCAAGATAGCCCGATTCATCATTGAAAGTGGATCTTCATTATAATCATTGAAATTTGAGAAGACAAAAGTGATAAACTCTTGAAGTAGATCAATGTTTTTATTGTAAGGATGAAGCATCACTTTAGGGATTCTGATAGTTTCAGGAGATATATGTTATTCTGTACCATTTCCTATAGAAAGAAAAAAATTACTAAACGCTGGATCATGCTTAGCCCGCATATTTTCAGTCAATTTGATCTTTTCTAATGAATGCCAAATGTAAGACATAACAAGCATAGAATTAATGCATTCATTTCTTGTGCTCACTGGCACAACAAGTAGCACTTGACGAAAGTCACCACCGAATACTACAACCTTTCCTCCAAATAGAAGATTGCTATCCATGACATCTTTTGACAATTCATCAAGTGCTTTAATACTTTGTCGTCTTGCCATCGATGCTTCATCCCATGTTATAAGTGTAGTAAGTTTCAAAAGTTTTGTCGGGCCACTCTGTTTGCTGACATTACAACAAATTTTGCTTTCAACATCTATAGGAATTTTGAATCGTGAGTGCGCAGTGCGCCCATTAGGCAAAAGTGATATAGCAACTCTTGAAGTTGCAGTTGCGAGAGTGATCAATTTGTGTGTTCTTATTGTAGCCAAGATTGCTTGATACAAAAAGGTTTTCCCAGTTCCACCAGGTCCATCAATAAAGAAATATCCAGGATTTGCGGAAAGTACTATATCAACAATTTTAGAATATGTAAGTTGTTTTGTGTTTAACAACAATATAGACATCAAATCAACCTCAGACACTAATATATTGTGCTCATCTTCTATATCTTTGCAACAATCATCAATTTCATCAGAAGGGACCGATAGATCTGAAAGATAAAATTGTTCAATGTTTTTACCCATAGATTCAAGAGCAGAATTTATATTTTGCAAAAGTCTAGAACAAATTTGTTTTGTAGATAATTGTCCTTCTCTAGAAAGATCCTTCGACATTGTTATTTCAAATTGTAAGAATAAAGCTTTTGGATCATGTGGA